CCGAACAGTAACTGTAAGAACAGTTCTAACAGTTTCGCGATATCTTACTAAGTGGAAAATCATAGCCTTGTTACGTTCACTATAATTTCAGGAGGTTTCTTTAAATACTGCAGCAACTTTCCATAAGAATACGTTGTTAAAATGTTATAAAAGTCCCTTTTGTGATGGATGAAAAGTCATCTCCATTTTTCTCCAAATAAATGGTTTTTAAAGCTATTAGCATAAACATCAACTGCAAATGATGGAACAGTACAAGGATGTCATTTGGACAGGGGAAGAATTTGTCATTAATGTAAATTCCATGATTTGTATTTTCCATGATTTTTGAAAGTTTTATGAGGGCGAGTTTTGGATTACCTTGGGCTTTATAATTCGTGTAAACCGACCTAAATAATCAGCATTACTTTCTATAGCCCATCGTATGTTTTGCTACATCCTGATTTATTAATAGTATAATAGAAAATTTTAATGCCTTGTTTTATTTATATGATGGCATAAGATCTCCAGAATAAAAGAACTGTTCCGGGAAGTCGCATTCGTAAATGATTTTGCATATGACTTAAGATAAATGGCTTAAAGACTGTAAAGACCTTATTTTATTCTAACCAATTATTTTTAGTTTGTGAATCTTTCCTTTCCCTTCTGATTTCAGTTTCCTGTCAGAATGTAAATTTTAATGACGTAGTATGCAATCCTAAGTGAGTTCGAAATGAGTATTCAAGTGGTTAATAATTAATTACGATATTTTAGAGGGACAATTAGTTCCGAATCGATGCCGCGTGTTTTGAAGTAGCTTTGGTGCTTAGCCACTTTAGATCATATTGATATTATAGGTTCAGCTTTACTGTACGCAGCCGATTTAGCAGTTTAGATTACTAAGGAGCCCGTCATGTAGACCATTTACTTTATTGTGATTTTATATTTTTATTTTCGTGTTAGTTTATAAAGTATTTCTCCCACCTTCTTAGCATCCCTTCAAGTGTAGTGGTCAACACACTCGACGCGTATTCGAAAGGTCCGTGGTTCGAATCCCGGCGTTGCTCATTTTTCACATCTCCTGCTTCTAAAAAAATCCTAATGTCTCTACAGTGGCCTCCCTATTAAAAGGTGGTAAGTGATGATTCTTCACCACCAAGATTCGTCGATGGGGGTCCCCCTAAAACCTCAGTCTCCACTTAAAAGGGGTAGTATGTAAGGTACTTCTCTCGCTTTCTTAGCATGCCTTCGTAGTGTAGTGGTCAGCACGTTCGACGCGTTTTTGAGAGGTCCGTGTTTCGAGTCCCGGCAAAGGCGTCGCTCATTTTTCACATGTCCTGCTTCCAAAAAATCCTAATGTCTCTACAACTTAACCACAAGTGGTGGTAATTGTAAACACCGAGTGAGTGCAATCTTTGTTTAGTTCAAATAAAAAGGTTACTTAAACCTTCTTTTGTAGTACTTGTTCTTCAACCACATAGCGAAAATTCGCTACTCACTCCTTTCCGTACCGTCTGCCCTTGGATGATCCCGAAACAAACAAGAAGACTTTACAAGGTAAAGAAACTCACAGTAGTTCTTCAGATTTTCTTTGGATCAATTTCTGGAGAATTCTATAATTCTGCAACATTAGACTAACATAATTAACAAAAGAGAATATCCTTTCTGATATGACATTACTTGATAATTACGTTAACGAAAAACTTGATCCATATTAAAATAATCTGAAAGAACTGAAGAGAAATACAATTTTGCATTGCGAAATTTATATTCGTGCCTAAATCTGATTGAATATAGAATGTAAGAAAGTTATTTTAAGGCGATAAAAATAATACAGAGAGAATTCGCTTTCAACACTTTCTTTTAATTAAACTCCAGCCATCATTCCGAAACCTTTAGCCTTTACAATTAATCTCCATCAGCTTTACCACTGCTTGCTAAGACAACGAAACTTATCACAAAGGGGCTTTCTCTCTATGCGGAAAGGAGATTAAAATGATGTTCCACCCTTTATTTAATGTGCTGTATGAAATAAGTAGCTTTTGAACGGATTACTCAAACTCATTACTCCCGCAGCAAACATATTTGCCCTTTCTCCTCCCAAGGGCTAACACGAAATATGTATTGTTAATGGTGGCCGTGCATATCTGTGACTGTATCTTTCTCGCTAAAGCTCCATCGCTCATTTTGTTGGAAGAACTCGGTGACTCAAATGGTGCATTAAGATTTTAGCAACCGACTTAAATATTTGTTTGTAAAGTTGAAAACGAGAAAGCAATAGACGAATCCCTGGTTTGTTGAATTAGGAGGTGATTTCCTTTGAGGGGGATTCAGAAAGAGAATCGCTTTGTGCCTCAGGATGTGGTTATACGGAGTGGAGAAATTTGCAAATTAAGGATATGGTCTCAGTAAATTATTGAAAGAATTTCATTTTGCGCTTTTCAAAGAGGAAATAGCAAAAATCATTAACTTTCTGAGATTCGAAATGTACTTCTTTTATGAATTCTCTCTAAATACTTGGAAAATGATATGATTGTGAACATTAATAAATCAACTCAGATTCAAATTTCAACGAAAAAAACTAACTGTATGGGAGGTTCGTAGTTTTTCTGATGTGTTATGTGAATATACTTCAGAGTCCTTTAAAATATCCTCTACGATTGCATCCCTTCCCTTTGGAGAGGAATCTGTCGAATGTTTTGCCTTAAATAATCAATAAAACTATATGTTCATTAAACCAGAAACGTGAAGATTCGTAGATAGAAGAATAATATTCTATTGTTAGTTTTGACCCTTTGGATGCCAAAGGTGAAAATATGATTTTGTCCAAAAAATACTACATTTCTGACAGAGGCTCTATCTGAAGGTTTTATAGCCTCTTCTATTTTCAGCAACCACGTTAGATATTTGCTTTCCCACAAAATTATGTCATAATTTATCTATCTTTATTCCATATAAATGCGATGATCACAGCCATCAAATCAATGGGCTTAACCGATAGCCAGCGGGATAAGACTGATAAACATTGCTAGTGTCATCTGGGTTCAGATCCGGACAAATATTGAATTGCATTGGTATTTTAGTCTCTTTTGTGTATCTCACTTGTCTGACCTAATCAGAACAAGTCCACGAATTTTGACGCGGCAAGGAGCGCAAGACTGCATCTGTTGTTAAAATGGGATTTGAGCTACATATATAGATGAGAGTACATCTTTATCCATCCTCAGTTTTAATGGAAAGCAACTCAACCTACTCAAACTACTCGAGGGAACTTTCGCTTCACTGCATATTTTGAGTGCTCCAATCTCGCACAGACACTATACACTTCCAAACATCTGCGCTTTCTCCGTGTTTTGAACCCGAGCCCAACGATACAGGAGCACTAACCACTCTACCGGTCACTAACCGCTCTACCAATCTGGGCGGCTGACATTTTTGTTCATTTCCCCCATGCGTAATTAAAATCAATTTGTAGATTCATTGACTGGGATTAACAATCATACATATTTGACCATTAATCACTTCCAGTAAATACTTATATTAAATGAGCATATATTTTAATTTGAATCCTTCAACTCGTTTTGAACAGTTTTATGAGAAGCAAAGGGAAACTAATCATAGATTTACTTATAAAACTTATTTCTAGGATTTTGTTAAGAAATTTGCTGCCTTAAATCAAGAATCTAGCGTTAATATTAGTATTTATAAACTTTTCTTAAGAGTCTGAGCCTGAAGCAGCATTCTTACCATCCTTTCATCGTGTTATAACTCTATCGGAATCAAAACAAATTCAATCTTTCAATCTCACAATTATGTTTTTAAAAAGTAATTTAATATACACGGATCTTTGTAAATACATGGAACTCATATTTTAAATATGTTTTTGTCCGTCTTTGCATCATTTTTAGATTTTCTCGTGGATTTCATACTGCTAAATCCAAATATTACATCTATCTTATATTATCGCTTTCCAGTTTTACAGGATCCAAGAACCTAAATTATTCATTTGTATCCAGAAATTTCTCGGAAAATGCAAACTTTTTTTATCTACAGCTTTAACAAATAGTTAAATGAGACGTTATTTTACACGAAGCCTCCTCGGCTTCGTAAGCTATCTTGTCTGTTAAAATTCATAAACCATGATGTTGCTATGCCATCTAATCTGCATCTACAGCCACGTCTGCCCTCTGATTTTATTGTAGCCAAGTTTCAAATGCTGTACTAGATACTGGCGAGGTAATGGTACCTTAAAGATGATAGTTCGCCTATGCTCAACTTCATCTCAGTTTTGATGCAGAATACCCCAACGCAAAAGACGTGTCTCAAGGTCTTATACACCTCTTTCCCTACCACTACCACTACCACAACCTCTCGAGAGGACTTTCCGCCTGACAGTATTGTAAGTGTTTCTTCGTTAAAGATACTATACATTTACATTATTCCATGCCTTAAATAATCTAGGATCTTCTCTAGAATTTAAATTAGAGAATCTATGGCATCTAACTCCTCTACCATCATGCAATAGAGCGGTACGTGCCATATATTATCACATCAGACACCGCATTTTCAAGTTTTTTTTATGATGCAGTGTTTCATCTTTTTCAACTAGTCCATTCGCTTTTGTAATGTTTGGTAAAGCACGCGTGCAGTCATATTAGTAGTAAAAAAGTAGGCAATACAGTAGTTAAAACTGCAGACTTTCCTCTGATGATCTTGGTAGTGCATATTTTGAAATAATGCTGAAACGTGTCACCGGTTTCTTTTATGTTTATACAATAAACAATTACTAATTCATAACATAGTGACAAACTGAATGTTTAAAAGCTCCAGCGCTGATTTAATTTATATATAACCTGCTTGCAAGTTTTACCACATTAGTGTTTTTCAGTTTAAGCCATGATTATACAGTTTGTTTTAGAATTAGACTTAAATAATAAAGTTTATACAGAGTAAATTCAGAGTGTTTAAGAAATAGCAATAAATGATTGATTGTTCAAAGAATAAAAGAATTACCTCAATTTCAGGGTGATGATAGAAGACGACATGCTCTACAAAACTCAATCGTTTCTCGCCAAATGAATACCATCCCATCAACGTAAACAACGAATGTGGCCATAAAGACTTAGAAAAAGGAGACTCTAGGGATCCATGAAATATGTCTTCGCATCCAGAAGGCACCTTTAAATGCTTACTTGACCACCGTCCATTGTATTGGTCCCCTTTTAGTTTTTGAACCTCGAACAAAAAATAGAATTAAAGCCTATAAATATTTTGAAAGAAGGGTTTTATTTATTGGCATTTGCGCGGTGAGACATGTTTTATGGTGTTCTGCCTTTTGATTCTCGAAGTTTATGGGGCGTGTAGGATGAGAAGGGCCCTGAAGATCTTCTTTCTATCCATGTTTCTTTCTCAACGCAGTGTTTTATTTTTGGCAGTTGTGCTTTTTTTTTTTTTTCAAAAACATAATCGAATAACCAGCTTTTATATCTTTGCTTGTGTTAATGTTTCTGTGGGAATTAGCTTTTTGTTCTTTAGGTACCTTAATTGTAGAATTTGTCATTGTCTTACAGCAGCTTTGTCTTGTCTAGTGTCCATCTGAAGTAAACTACGCAGTCCATTAAAATTCATTTCGTACAAAGTTTGAGTTTATGTTGCTAGTTCCGAAGCGGTAAACTGCATCATCACTGAAACCTGATATAACTTTAAGCTTTTGCCGAAACTGTTAAATTTATTCTAATGTTAAAAGAATCTGAAAGTGTCCAAATAACGAATGAATAATTATAAGTGTAAAAACACTGATATATATATATATATATGAATATAATTTTTTACTCGAGGAAATACTTTATTTTTTTAAATGTGCGAGAACTATATTTTAAAGATTATTTGTGATATATCTGCAGCGTCGTGATAGCGAATGCATTCCCGTCTCGAAGAAATTCTCATTTCTGGTAGCGCCAAAATACAAGGCATTTAAATCATTCCGGCCTCTTTTTAACATCATAAAATGTTTAGTTTAATGTAAGGTTTTCCATATTACGAAATAATTGGTGAATTAAGTTAAAGTTTCCTATACCATCTGATTTATCCAGGATTTTAGATCATCCTGGAAGACCGTCGTTCATGCATCTTGATAACTGCAGCTTCCGCAACGCTAAGTATTCTCGGTATTTCCTGGATTTTATGACAATAAGAAACAACATTAATCATCTTTTTAGGCCTCAGAAATAAAGGCGAAATATTTTCCTTAGTAGTTTCTAATACAACCAATTCGATCTGATGACCAAATATATATAATATTCAACTTGTGTTCTGGGTATCGCGTTTGATTAATCTATTACCCTTATACGTTCCTCTCGCATTAAATGATATACACACTTCTTATTTGAAATTTTGATTTTGTGCTAAACGTTTGTTGACTTGTTTCTCAAATAGAAAGAATAGGAAATATCATATTTTCACCACTTCTGTTGATCGTTTGAACTCACGAAGAGTTCACCTGTCGAGTTTTTAAATCTTTTCATGCTTTCAGATAACTAATGATGGTCATTGCTATGCACCACAAAGTCGTGAACCAAGAGGGATAATGTTTGAAAGCGTTCAGCTTCCCAAAGCTTTGAAGCTGTCATCACTGAGGGGATTTTTAACTTCTCAAACCCTCTGAAATGGAAATTTCTAACTACCTCTGTACTGTCCTTTTTCATATGCGTTGTTGCTAAGCGTGAAGCTGAAACTGTGAGTAACTCTGTTTACTCTATAGCCTATAGTATGAATTCATTCGAGAGGCTAGATCTTATTTCTTATCATAATGTAAATTTTCTAAAAATCTGCACTCATCTAAAATTAAAATATAACAAGACAAATTTATGAAGAATTGTATGATTCTTAAGTTAGAATAGGCCTTTTTTATATTTATAAGTGAGAAAAATGATTTTGTACTCAGTTTAAGAATTCTGAGCCATTTCATAAAATATGCTTAACGATCGGATATCGCTAGTACATTTTCTAAATAATATAATCCTTCTCTATGTATGGTGACTTCAAACTGCGCATCAACAATATTTATCATAGAAAAAATATATTATATATTGGTTTGGAAATAATGTAAGTTAAACATCCACTTTAAAATCGGAGAAATGTAAATATTAACCTGAAACCTTTTTCTGATGGGTTTCAGTACCTAAAATTAACGTAATAGTTTGAAGCATATTTGCTATTTAAAAATAAAGATAAACATTTTCCGTAAAATTTTTTACTTGATTTCAAGAGTTACGTCATAAATAATATTAAGTGTTCAGAATTTAATGCTGTTTTTAAATTTCCATATGACTATATAGCTTTCAACAGGCACGAAATAAGCTAAGTAATCAAGTACCAATATGAATGTAGAGCTATTGTAAGAATGCAAACAGGATTTGCCTGCATGGTTTTCTAAATACAGTTAGAGTTGCATTCGGCTAATTATGATGAGTATAAAAAATTTGTAAAACATTAGCACTCTTAGCGTGAACATCACATAATTTTGTTTGAACTAAAGAAAGAGCTCAGACAGTGCATCTTTAGCGAGTACACAACACAAAGATAAACAACTTTATATAAGTTCTCGTAAAGTATTAAAATAAATATTTAGATTTACTTTTTAAAATTTTGTAAAATAAAAAATTCCAGTCTGCATTAAATCTACTTAGGGCTAAAATGCCTGAACGTAAATGTTCAAAGAAAATTTAAAATGCAAATTTTCAATCAGAATTTATACAGAACAAAACCGTCATATGTGCATCTGTAAAAATGCTTAAAATTGCCCACATATAATGGGAGCCTTTAGAATTTTTCGATGTCAGGAAACTGACGAAATCCGCAATTCCGTCGTTGGAATTTGAACACTGGACTTTCCGACTACTAGCCGGACGTGCTATTTATTTACTCGACGAAGACACGCGGTAAGGAGATATAACATATGTTTATAATTAGAACAAGTAGCGATTGATGTACACTGTTCCTACTAAAATGAAATATTCGTGATTTTAACGGATGGTAATTCTTTTATGAAACCTTCGAAGATATTAGTCTACTTCAAATTGTGTTGCTGGTTGCTGTAGGAGTAAGATTTAGAGCTCAGTTCACCACAAAGTTAAATAAATTATTAAAATATCTTTAATAGTTCTTTCTTGAATGAAAATGTCACTGATCTTGAAAAATATTTCAGATTTTTCGAAATAATGTACAAAACAATCAGTTTTTTCTTCAGACAAACAGACTTATAAATATTTAAAAACGCATTCGCGTAAATTTATACACTTGAATTCAATATTTAAAGTATTTAGCAGAAACCTGAATCATGTGTAGTGTATATGATTAATGACGAATAAGTCATATGTACTTAACATATATTTTTGTTTCTTAAAATATGTTTTAAACATATAATTTGAGTAGAATTTGAAAATTTATTAAATTAAATCCAGCTAGCGTTTTTATCCATTTCCGAGGTTGGAATTGTCCAGTTATTCGGCCGTTAATCTTGCCAGCAGTCTGAAATCACACTCTGAATACCTTGAATAGCAGTTTAATTATTCCTCAATACTCATTTAAAAGTTTATTTCTCAAAATCGCATGCTCTTGACACAATATTCACAAGTTTCAATTTAGTTATGAAATCAGTCGTTTTTCGCGTGCTACGTTTAAGACTTCAATGTATTTCTTGCTTAATGTTACTATAGCGAAAAGCGTGGTTTTCTTAGATTGACTGCTTTTTGAAGAATTGTCGAAATTCTTCGACAGTTCTCCTAACAAACTCACATTTCTAAACAAACCCGTAGGAAGTTTATTTGTATTTATTTCTCAGAACAAACTTATAGATGTCTTCGATACCATCCACGATTTTCTGTAGCTAATCCTTCTTCACTTCTCCATCCTTCTGCCCACAAGATCAGCCTTTCTTTCTTCGATTCGTCAAACCACTTTGAAGATTGCCCCTCTTTATGCTAGGGTCCTGATTGGTCTTAACCCAACCTCAAGGAGTATTCAAGTAGTCGCCAATACTTTCACTATGAATATTGGCACAGAAAAGTAAAAAACTGTCAGTAGTTCAGAGAACTAAACAAATAACGCAAATTCTCCTTAATTAGATAATAATGTCGCAGATCATTAAATTCGCTGTGAAATTATAAAACAGTAGTAAACAATCAAGAGCTTTACGGCAACCAACGATTTTGACTTGAATAATTGAACTAACTGGATAACAGCTCTAGTGTTGCTGCATTCATAGCAAGGGTTCTTAACCAGAAGAGAATCCCGCCTATGGGTAATTTCATAGAATGCGGTAAGACTTTTATTTAGCTGTTATATATTTAATTTTTATTTAGAAGTGTAAAATATACTTTTAATCAAGTTTTCGTATTTAATAACATTTTCAATATTTTTATTGTTTAATGTACAAAGCATGTTAACAGTGACCTATATTTAAATAAATGTGTGCAATAATTTCATTGGTGCGCCGATAAAACTTGTAAGAGAGTTGGATAGAGAAGATGAAACCAATCACGTTTTAGTCATGGCCAAGAAAAGCTACTGCGAAGACGACTAATAAATATCGATGTAATGGATGGAATTTTGGAAGAGGCACGACTTGGTACTTAAACATACTTTAGTTTGCTTACGGATATTTCTTATCACATACCTTCTTAATTGATAGAATACTAGGGGTGCTAAACGCGCCCCACGAATTTGATGCACAATTGCATCTTAATTAATGGAGAATAGCTAGCAGAGTCTGAGTGATACGTTACCAGCACGAAAGCAAAGTGGAGAAGATGGATGTTTAGTTACGCATCAATCTATATCTGCTATAAACCATCTATTTACTATAAGCTTGGAACGCTTTGCTCTAGCTTATAGTAGGTAACTAAGCTTGAAACGCTTTGATCCTAGCTACTATAAACTTGGATCCACGTATTTACTATAAGCTTGGAACGCTTTGTTCTAGCTTATAGTAGATAACAAAGCTTGGAACTCTTTGATCTAAGCTACTATAAGCTACTATAAGCTTGGATCCCTCTATCTACTATAAGCTTGGATCCATCTATCTACTATAAGTTTGGAACGGTTTGTTTTAATTTTGAGCAGCGATTGAGCAAAGGTCTGGACCAATGCAGATATTACAGGAAAAAGTGTAGATTCCTTGAAGAGGGTTGTGTCTTAATTGAAAATTCGAAATTTATAGGTCTATGATTTGTTCCAATTGACGTTTAATTTGT